CTGTGACATTATAAAGTGGCAATAGTCAGATGATGTAAACACATTTGATGATACATCTGTGAGGTTTTAGTTGATTTTGACAGCCCGGGCCAAGTCGGACCGAACACTTCTGACATAGATTTTCTCAAGATAATACAGTAAAAGTGCTTGACTTAAACGGACCAGTTTTCTTTAAATACGATGTACTGTGACATTATAAAGTGGTATATAGGTAGATATAATACTAATCTATAGATTACAAGTCGGACCCAACACAAGCCAAACACTTCTGATAGGGACTATGTTGAGAAAGTAGAGGGAAAAGGGCTTCACTTTGAGCCTCTTGTTCCCTTTAATTACAGCTACCCGAGACACTGTAAAGTGATAAGATATATAGGTAGATTGTATACTAATCTATAGAGGACGAATCCATTTCATGATACATCTGTGAGGTTTAAGTTAATTTTGACAGCCCGGGTCAAGTCGGAACGCACATTTCTGACATAGATTTTCTTAAGAAAATACAGTAATAATGCTTGACTTAAACGGACCAGTTTTCTATAAATACTGCTACTTGTGACGTTATAAAGTGGTATATAGACAGATATAACACCAATCTATAGATGTTAACACATTTGAAGATGGATCTGTGTGTTTGAAGTAGATTTTGATAGCCCGGGCTAAGTTGGACCCAACACAAGCCAAACACTTCTGATAAAAACTATGTTGAGAATGTAGAGGGAAAAGGGCTTCACTTTTAGCACCTTGTTTTCTTTAAATACGATGTACTGTGACATTATAAAGTGGTATATAGGTAGATATAACACTAATCTATAGATTACAAGTCGGACCCAACACAAGCCAAACACTTCTGATAGAGACTATGTTGAGAAAGTAGAGGGAAAAGGGCTTCACTTTGAGCCCCTTGTTTTCTATAAATACAGCAAACTAAGAAACTATAAAGTGGTATATAGGTAGATATAATGCTAGTCTATAGACGTAAACACATTCGAAGATACATCTGTATGTTTAAAGTTGATTTGGACAGCCCAGGCCAAGTCGGACCGAACACTTCTGACATAGATTTTCTTTAGAAAATACAGTAAAAGTGCTTGACTTTAACGTACCAGTTTTCTTTAAGTGCGATACACTGTGACATTATAAAGTGGTATATATGTAGATATAACACTAATCTATAGATGTAAAAACATTTGAAGATACATCTGTGTGTTTAAAGTTGATTTTGACAGCCCGGGCCAAGTCGGACCCAACACAAACCAAACACTTCTGATGGAGACTATGTTGATAATGTAGAGGGAAAAGGGCTTCACTTTGAGGCCCTTATTTTCTTTAAGTACAGCGATCCGAGACACTGTAAAGTAGTATATAGGTGGATATAATACTAATCTATAGATGTGAATCCATTTGATGATACATCTGTGAGGTTTAAGTTGATTTTGACAGCCCGGGCCAAGTCGGACCGAACACTTGTGAGACTGTTGAGAGTATAGGGAGAGGAGGTCTCTTTTTCCACGTGTCTGCTTTAACAGTGACATTATAAGCTGGTATTTACTTATATATAGTATTATCATATAGATATAAACGCTTTGCCGACAGATGGAAATTTGTATCACGACAGCTAGCAGTATTTGATACGTTTCAAATCTTATTTCGTTTAACGATTGCTCTTTTACATGTTATGTAGATCAGCGACGCTTAAACTCATCTCCACTTTCTGGTTTTCAAGTGATTTACTCCGAATTACTTAATTATGGTGCACGTTTTTGGTTGGTGCTTGTTCAATAATGTCATGTGTCTATGTTGCATCAATAATATGTAGGTATGATCGTCGATAATGCAGTAAGGAGCCAATAACACTTTGGCCCGTCTTGGCCCGGCCCGGCCCGACTTTTAGGCACTGCCCATAGATCTGTGCCGAACGCAGCGCCTGCCTTCCACCAAAGCGCCTCTACATGATCAGCTTAGCGCTGTTCCAACGACCTATCCAGCGCAGCCATTACAGAACACTAATTGGATGCAAAACTTTATACAATCCATGTGGCAGCAGTTTATGGCACACCTGTAACCAGACGCCTGCGCCAGCTACAACTTTGGCAGAAGTGTTAGTGCCTACACCGGCACCTAACGTATACCAAACGCCTAATGTGTGTTCAGTCTCGACTTGCAGGATGCCTATCTGCATATACCTAGCCATCCCTCCGACCGCAGACTCCTCAGGTTCCACTTCAATGGGGTTCACTACCAATGGGTAGTGCTCCCATTTGGCATTTCAGTTGTCCGTTGGCTATTTACACGAGTAACGAGTAACAACTTTATTTCTTCACCCAAGACCAAGTCTTTTTGTTGTCAGAAGGTGAGCAGTGAATGCATTAAGGTGTAATGCAGGATAAGTATACAAATGAAAAAAATATTTAGATTTCACTTTAAATTGTATAGATTGATAAATTACCGCTTCAATATACGTGACCAAAGTACCTACAAACCCTTTGTTTCCTCAAACGTAAACTGTCCTGACACTAGACGTTGGGTGCCCGCCGCCACATTTCCAATCCAGACAAACACATTTAGGCCTAGATGTTACCAGCATGCTTCTCAGTCACTTTCTGCTTCTCGTGGCAATTTGACTACATCAAATTTTGAAAACTGTATGACGTTGCGATTTAGTTGTCTTCAGGTATTCTTGCATGTGTTACGATGTGATAAATAGAGTAAATATTAAAGATAAGAGTCGATTTTGTAATTCTTAGAATTGTTTTCATTTTCTGCGCATGCATCCATCAGAGTATAACAGTCACAAATGTTTCATTAAATTGTTCTGCTAATCTATACAATTTTATAAAATTTGTGACATATTTAGATGCATGCTCAAAAAATGAAAAATAATTCTCAAATAACCTCAAGACAGGGGGCGGTGCTCATAATATCCATAATGTTGTTTATAATACAAAGCACTATGTTCTGGCCCGGATTCCACAGCCCGCTGTGATATAAATAGAAATCCCTGACTGCAACTTAAAACAACAGAATCTATAACATGCTGTCATGTTTTCCCTTTGTGTTGCCAGGCAACTTGCCAGTCTTCACTAAAAAGCACCTTCAATTTATGATGACGACAAGTCCAAGACATCACATGACACACTGCTGGAGACATCAATTAACAAACAGATCAAGACATCAACTGACACACTGCTCCAGACACCTGACACACAGCTCTTGACATAACCTACACACAGCTGTAGACATCACCTGACACACAGCTGTAGACATCACCTGACACACAGCTCTAGACATCACCTGACACACAGACATCACCTGAAACACTGCTCCAGATATTACTTGACATATAGCTCCAAACATCACCAACACACAGCTGTAGACATCACCTGACACACAGCTCTAGACATCAACCAACATACAGCTCTAGGCATCACCTGACATACCACTGTAGACATCACCTGACACCTGGCGTACACGTTATCTTAACAGTGAGTGAGTGAGTGAGTGAGTTGGGTTTAACGCCGCTTTTAACAATATTCCAGTTATATCACGGCGTGTCAGCTTAATGTGGGAGGAAAGCCAGAAGTGATGCAGGTCTAAGACGTTTACCACTTCGGTGAAACCCACGAGCACGGGTATGGTGCTGACAAACCTAGAAACATAATTGGGGCGAACCGGGATTCGAACCCACAATCATAGGTTTCTGGCGTGCCCAAGGGACGCAACTCTGCACAGCGAATCGCGGCGCCTCAGACGACTGGGCCACCCGTGCCCCCTTATCTTAACAGAAACGCACGACCTGACATCGCCCACCCCACCACGCTGAGCGACGGGCTGAAGAAGATGGATGTATAGGGATGTTGTACATTCCAAGTATGAATGCTGAAACTGCCATAGCAAGACAGTCTCCTTGATTGATGACTACAGTTGGGAGTGTTTGTATCTTGGCTGTGAAACATGAATCATATCCTCAAAAACTGGAATGGCAAGGAGAATAAACTTGCTGGCATTACGTCAACTAACAATAAATCTTATTGGTTTTCTTGCATTATATATGTAAATATATACTTCTCAACATTTGATTGGGATACAAAGATACTAGACATTGGTTTTGTGTTTTGTGAAATAATAGGAGTATCCTTGTCCAACACTGAGTGGTGTATTTGGCATTGCATCTTTCTCTTTTATCCTGTCAGCCTTCTGTTTGTTACCTCGGCATCATGGTTTGCGTGTCACATTCAGATGGAAATAATGATATGATTGTGCTGGTAACAATGAATAAAACCAATGCTTCCAGCAGATAATTCATTTTGTCATTTTGTAAACCGTTAAGTTGGGCACTAGCCCCACGTGAAACTGCCGGTTCGTGTGATGTAGTGCAGACTGGAGAAACCGAGGCAGACATAGAAAGCAGCGTTAGAAATTGGCACAAGTCCTGTTGTCCTTGCAAAACTGCCCAATAGTTAAGGTATCATAAAGACCAGTAGAAATTTGCCTTTTTTAAGGTGTTTGCTTTATGTTATCATCATAAGGACTAGTGGACTAAAACTGTTAGTTTCTATCGCTGGAAAGGCTTCTCCTTCATACCTATTCATCTGAAAGCATGCCGTTTATGACTAGATAAGCCAAATTTTGAGGACTAGAAAAAGATTCTGTAGAAAGGGGTCGGCTTATGACCGACCCCGACAGGTTACACTTTCATCAAACATTTTTTCTGAAAACACTACATCGTATCGCTTCAGGTGAATGTAGCAAATGGAAGGCAGCATTAACGGAAGACACCGACTTGTCAGATCTTCAACCTATGTTACCTGTACTAATGTTCATACCCTTTCAATCATTTACCTTGAGTGACCATAACCCCTGTGTATGAAGATTCCAAACTGCTTCAAGCGAGCAACAACTCATCCATGACCACTTACTCTTCAAGTCACACAGACATGCCAGTAATGTTATTTCAATCTACTGATAATTGTAATTGAGTGTAAATGGTACACAACATATACAAGACTTATATTTAATCATTTGTTCAAGAAGCTGGTAACATGTATACAATTGCACAATTTCATTTGGAAATTGTAGCAGAGTGAAACCTGCATCACATTGAGGCATCCAGGGAGTGTGGCATCAGCCAGGGCCCATAACATCAGAATTGTGAAATGCACAATGTAAATCCCAGAAGAGATACCGAACCACCCCGTTCAGTTTCCCTCTGCTCAGGCAATGTCAGTTTTCATTTGTAAATGTATGATCTTTTTAATCCTCCATTAGATTTGGATCATAAGACTTGGACTCGGGCACTAGCAGATGAACCAGCATCACAGCTCCATGATCTAGATATGACCTGATTTTCAGGGCTTGACAAAACCAACCATGGCGACTGTAACTGTAACGATGGAATCATGTCCTCAATCTGGTTCAACAAGATCTGCATGCCCTGCACTGCTCCTATGACAACGGCCTGAAAGTGTCCTATGCCTGTCACAACACATCTGGACGAGCAGGGCAGAGCACATCACAATCCTGCTGGCATTGTTACTGTACAAATACTGACAGTGGGTGAGATTTGAGATTTGAGGACTTGATGCGTTTCTGCCCCATCCCCCGGCTCTGCCACCTTCCTCTTCTGGATAATGCGGTTGATCTGCTGCAGTTCTCGGTCTTACATGGCTTTCTCATCCTTTGGACCTGTCCTCCGAGTTCTGCGACCATCCGCCATTTTAACACCATACTAGAAGGGAGCTCTGAAAAAAACGACGATATTCAATAAATGAGGAGGTGTACATGATGAGCAACTCTGCAACATATTATGTATCTAGTCTTGACAACTGAAACTGAAATCCCCATTGTATTGATAGCTTCAGGCATCAGCTGATGCTGATTTCCTTCGCCAATCCCGTCACCTGTCTGGTTCCACGAAAGCGAGCTATCTTTCTGCACTCAATTCTGTCCTCAAGATCGCTAGAGGTTCCCGGCTATCATCGGTCCCGGCCTCTTTGCCATGGTCCGAGGTTTTAGGCTGGAGGACCAGACTGAGGAGTTCCGCCCCCCAGCTCGGGACTCGCCACTGTGTACTCTATGTCTGATCCAGTGAGGAATATGAGGAATAGGGGCCAAGGGGTATAACTCGCGGTACCTAGGCACGGGCTGTAGTCTGTTTAAACTGTCTCTTCGTTCCAGTACTGTCTGTATGTATAAGGTAGGGAAGCTAAAGCACTGTGTAGCATCAGGTAAGAATAAAAACATTGCATTTAATCAGAAATGCTCATTGTTGTTATTTAATGTTACGTTATCAACATGTTTTAGACAACACTTAAAGAATAACAATTCTATTTCGTTATTAATATTTTTCCCAACAACACCATGTCCCGGCTGATTGTATGTCAAATGGGATGTTGTTCATGACATCAATCACTGGACTGTCTGGACCAGACTCGAATCCATACAGCTTGAACATTGGGGTGTTAAAAAACAAACCTCACTTAAAACAGATTGTCTCTTGTTTGTTGCTTAACGCTGCACTCAGCAATATTTCAGCCTTAGGATGGTGGCCTGTAAATAATTGAGTCTGGATCAGACAATCCATTGATTGATATTGTGAACAATGGTCCATGCCGTCCGGATAAGATGGCAATCAATTCACCTAGGCTGACCAGGGTAGCTTCTTTGGGACCTATTCTAACCAAGAAACCCCATGGGGGAATTGCTTATCAACTAAGCCCTGTTGAATATAGAGTAAATACAGCACGGTGTGGCTACTAGACACGTACTTGGGCAGGGCTTCCTTGTTGGACATTTAATCGCTGTATTCCTCCTGGGTGTCGAAGTCCCAGCGGCCGATCGGACCCTTCTTGTTGCCCTGGTCCATCTTGGTGTAGTCAACCTCATCCTCCGACTCCTCAATAGCATCAAAGGCTTCCACCATCCTACAACAACAACACACCGTATTGACATGCAAGTAACTTAACAACTGTAACAGAATTGGTACTTCCACAAGAGTGCCGACACACCAAGAAAACTACTCGATCCATAACGTGGATGGTAAGTCATATTGACAATGCAACTCCCACACCACTGTAAAAAATGACTACCAGTACTGCAAGTCATTAATTGCACCAGTAAACCAAGGCAAGTGATCAGAACCTTAAATAAGCTGTGAAATTAATGCCAGTAGCTCTATCTGTGAATCTAAAAGGGTTCTGTTACTTCAAGAACTGTTTCCAGTAAGTGAGGTGACACTGATGTGACAAACTCCAGTACGTCCAGACAAACATGTGACATATAAATCCAGCAAGTGGTAGCTCTTGTAATAGGTTCATGATTTCTAGTATACACATCTCATGATCTGCTACACTGAAATGGACACTGACATGTGCAAGATGGGGGAGTGTCCAGTGGGACGTGTTGCTATACGTTCTACGAGATACTACCTGCTAACGATACATCATGTCACCTGTACGACTCACCCTGGGTACCACTCGGCGTAGTTGTCTATTTCCATCTTAGACTGGAGCTTCTTCAGGCGATCCTTGGCCCTGCAGCAGGAGGAATGGCATTACCAACATGAAAATTGGTGCAATTACCTTCAGAAAGGCTCAGTGAACATAAGTTGAGTAACCTCGTTCCAACAATAGACTCACTGAGCTGACGTCTCCTACTGAGACCAGGAGACCAAGTTTGTTTAATAATATAAGAATAAGGCTAAAAAATGGTTCTCAGGCAATTACTTTTGAAAATATAGTGCGGGCTCGGGCTTTTTTTCTTTCTTTTTTGTTGTTCCTAAAAGACCCGTTAAGATCCGGGTTAGAATAGGTCTTCAGCAACCCATGCTTGCCGAAAAAGGCGACTTTGCTTGTCGTAAGAGGCGACTAACGGGATCGGGTGGTCGGGCTCGCTGACTTGATTGATGCAGGTCATCGATCCCAATTGTGTGGATCGATGCTCGTGATATTAATCACTGGATTGTCCGGTCCAGACTCGATTGTTTACAGAACCCCGTCATATAGCTGGATTATTGGTGAATGCGGCGTTAAAGAACACACCAACCAAATGTGCACCATCAACCGTGGAAAGGGCCTTCCTACATAAACAGTCTCTTATTGTCGCCATGACAATAACACGATATGTGGAGGAAAGAAGTTCGTAAGTAAAGGGAAGTTACTGTGTGCTATATTGGATCGCATTGTTTTAAAGTATTAGGAGTTGGTTTTTATAAATGAAATTAAAAACGAAACGTGCGGTAGACTTTATGATGACGCGGGCGGTGCCAGAGAAGCAAGACTTATTATTTTTTCGCCTAATCTCTCTTGGGACTGATAATCTGTAATTCCAGTGTGTGTCAGTGAAATTGTTAATGTCACTGTGGTTATAATACGTCTATCTACACTCATCCCCCATTGTGAATGGCAGTTATCTATCATTCTCCCCGCTGACAACATCAACCGACGCGAGCCTCGTTTCTCAAACAACTTACTTTTGTTTCTCATCGTCCATGTCGGCATAAGTCTGAAACAAGGAAGAACATCAATATTCACATCATCTATTTATCATGAGTCTATAAACTGATAAACACAAACTGTCTGACTAATCCATTCCATAACAAGAAAACAGCGTTATCACTATCCTCCGCCATGGGGCCCACTTGTTAAGTGTCTCTAAGATAAACTGACTTCAGTAGTTCCTGATTGCAAACACTATGCAGTTGAAAAGCACGGAGCAAGGGCCATAACTATGTACAAAAATAATTGACCAATTTTCGAACTCAGTCTTAACATATTGTATATCATCATGTATCAAAGTGTGTCACTATGATAGTAATGTATTTCCTCATATATCCAAGTGTGTCACTATGACAGTAATGTATTTCCTCATATATCCAAGTGTGTCACAATGATAGTAATGTATTTCCTCATATATCCAAGTGTGTCACTATGACAGTAATGTATGTCATCATATATCCAAGTGTGTCACTATGATAGTAATGTATTTCCTCATATATCCAAGTGTGTCACTATGACAGTAATGTATTTCCTCATGTATCCAAGTGTGTCACTATGACATTAATGTATTTCCTCATATATCCAAGTGTGACACTATGACAGTAATGTATTTCCTCATGTATCCAAGTGTGTCACTATGATAGTAATGTATTTCCTCATATATCCAAGTGTGTCACTATGACAGTAATGTATTGCCTCATGTATCCAAGTGTGTCACTATGATAGTAATGTATTTCCTCATATATCCAAGTGTGTCACTATGACAGTAATGTATTTCCGCATATATCCAAGTGTGTTACTATGACAGTAATGTATTTCCTCATATATCCAAGTGTGTCACTATGACAGTAATGTATTTATTTCCTCATGTATCCAAGTGTGTCACTATGATAGTAATGTATTTCCTCATATATCTAGGTGTGTCACTATGACAGTAATGTATTTCCTCATGTATCCAAGTGTGTCACTATGCTAGTAATGTATTTCCTCATATATCCAAGTGTGACACTATGACAGTAATGTTATTATTTACTCATGTATCCAAGTGTGTCACTATGATAGTAATGTATTTCCTCATATATCCAAGTGTGTCACTATGACAGTAATGTATTTCCTCATGTATCCAAGTGTGTCACTATGATAGTAATGTATTTCCTCATATATCCAAGTGTGACACTATGGTTGTAATGTATGTCCTCATAATGAATGAATGAATGAATACTCTTTATTTCCCCCTGGGTGGTCGGGTAGCCTAGTGGTTAAAGCGTTCGCTCGTTACGCCGAAAACCCGGGTTCGATTCCCGACATGGGTACAATGTGTGAAGCCCATTTCTGTTGTCCCCCGCCGTGATTTTGCTGGAATATTGCTAAAAGCGGGGTAAAACCATACTCACTCACTCACTTTATTTCCCCCAATGATTTGGAGAGTAGTACATACAATTACATTACATTATTTGACAACGGCAATGACAAAATACATATAAATACAACAGTTTGAGCTGGGTAAGCAGTAATGAAGTGATGCGTGAAACTGTATTTACATGATGTGTGACATAGCTTCACAAATACAATACGGATGTTAAGTTCCATGAGCTGACATGTTAAGCCAAGATACTCATGAATGTTGCCCAGCTGTCAAGTGTCATGTCCTGGACCACATCTGTAACCTAAGACAGTTACCTATATCCTTATATATCCATGTGTCACTATGACACTTTCGTATATCCTCATATATCATAGTTTGTCACTATGACAGTAATGTATATCCTCATATAACCCAGTGTGTCACTATGACAGTAATGCATGTTCTCATATATCCCGGTTTCTCACTATAACAGTTACATATATCCTCATATATTCCAGTGTGTCATTCTGACCTTTACGTATATCCACATATATCCCAGTGTGTCACTATGACAGTTACATATATCCTTGTATTTCGAAACGTGTCAATATGACACTGATGTATATTTTCATATATCCCAGTGTGTCACTAAGACAGTAACATGTATCCTCATATATCCCAGTGTGTCACTATGACCCTTACGTATATCCCAGTGTGTCATTTTGACAGTAACATATATCCTCATTCATCTAGTGTGTCACTAAGTCAGTTATATGTATCCTAACATTTCCCAGTGTGTCACTATGGCAGTTAAATATGTCCTTGTATTTCGCAGCGTGTCACTATGACACTTACTTATATCCACAGATATCCCAGTGTGTTACCATGACACTTATATATATCCTCATATCCCAGTGTGTCACTCAGACAGTTTCTTATATCCCTGTATATCCCAGTGTCACTATATCACTTACGTATATCCTCATATATCACAGTGTTTCACTATGAGTTTAATGTATATCCTAATATATCCCAGTGTGTCGCTATGACAGTAATGTGTATCCTCATATATCCCAGTGTGTCACGATTACAGTTACATCTGTCTTCACATATCTCAGTGTGTCACTTGGACAGTTACATATATCCTCATATATCCCAGTGTGTCACTATGATACTAACGTATATCCTCATATATCCAAGTGTGTCACTAAGACAGTTACATGTGTCCTTGTAAATCCCAGCGTGTCACTAAGACATGTACATATGTCCTTGTATATCCCAGTGTGTCACTATTACACTTACGCATATTCTCATATATCCCAGTATGTCACTATGGCAGTTACATATATCCTTATATATCCCAGTGTGTCACTATGACACTTACACATATCCTCATATATCCCAGTGTGTCACTACGACACTTTCGTATATCCTCATATATCCCAGTGTGGCTCTAGGACAGTTACATATATCCTTGTAAATACCAGCGTGTCACTATGAAAGTAATGTATATCCTCATATATCCCAGTGTGTCACTAGGACGGTTACATATATCCTTATATATCACAGTGTTTCACTAGGACAGTTACAAATATCCTCACATATCTCAGTGTGTCACTAAGACAGTTACATGTATCCTTGCATATCCCAGTGTGTCACTACAACAAATTGTGACTGCTAAGAGTATGACACACATACAGACACCACATTCCACAGTAACATACATCCCAGTACACATCAACATGACATCATCTTCCAAACCAACAGACATCACGGTCCACACCAACAGACACCACAGTCCCCACCAACAGGCATCACAGTCCACACCAACATGACATCACCGTCCACATAAAAAGGCATCACACTCCACACCAATAGGCATCACACTCCACACCAACAGATATCACAGTCCTTACCAACAGGCATCACACTCCACACCAACAGACATCACAGTCCTCACTAACAGGCATCACAGTCCACACCAACACACATCACAGTCCTCGCCAACAGGCATCACAGACCTCGCCAACAGGCATCACAGTCCTCACTAACAGGCATCACACTCCACACCAACACACATCACAGTCCTCGCCAACAGGCATCACAGTCCTCACTAACAGGCATCACACTCCACACCAACAGACATCACAGTCCTCACTAACAGGCATCACACTCCACACCAACACACATCACACTCCACACCAACAGACATCACAGTCCTCGCCAACAGGCATCACAGTCCTCACTAACAGGCATCACACTCCACACCAACAGACATCACAGTCCTCGCCAACAGATATCACAGTCCTCGCCAACAGGCATCACAGTCCTCACTAACAGGCATCACACTCCACACCAACAGACATCACAGTCCCCACCAACAGAAATCACGGTCCACACCAACATGACACCACAGTCCCCACCAACAGACATCACAGTCCCCACCAACAGAAATCACGGTCCACACTAACAGACATCAAAGTCCACACCAACAGACACCACAGTCCCCGCCAACAGGCATCAGTCCCCACCAACATACATCACAGTCCTCGCCAACAGGAAACACACTCGACACCAACAGACATCACAGTCCTCGCCAACAGACATCACAGTCCTCGCCAACAGGCAACACACTCCACACCAACAGACATCACAGTCCTCGCCAACAGGCATCACATTCCACACCAACAGACATCACAGTCCTCGCCAACAGGCATCACAGTCCTCACTAACAGGCATCACACTCCACACCAACAGACATCACAGTCCCCACCAACAGAAATCACGGTCCACACCAACATGACATCACAGTCCACACCAACAGACATCAGAGTCCACACTAACAGACATCAAAGTCCACACCAACAGACACCACGGTCCCCACCAACAGGCATCACAGTCCCCACCAACAGACATCACAGTCCTCGCAAACAGGCAACACACTCCACACCAACAGACATCACAGTCCTCGCCAACAGGCATCACACTCCACACCAACAGACATCACAGTCCTCACCAACAGGCATCACAGTCCTCACTAACAGACATCACACTCCACACCAACAGATATCACAGACCTCACCAACAGGCATCACACTCCACACCAACAGACATCACAGTCCTCACCAACAGGTATCACAGTCCTCACTAACAGGCATCACACTCCACACCAACAGTCATCACCGTCCTCGCCAACAGGCATCACAGTCCTCACTAACAGGCATCACACTCCACACCAACAGACATCACAGTCCTCACCAACAGGCATCACAGTCCTCACTAACAGGCATCACACTCCACACCAACAGACATCAAAGTCCTCACCAACAGGCATCACAGTCCTCACTAACAGGCATCACACTCCACACCAACAGTCATCACCGTCCTCGCCAACAGGCATCACAGTCCTCACTAACAGGCATCACACTCCACACCAACAGTCATCACAGTCCTCGCCAACAGGCATCACAGTCCTCACTAACAGGCATCACACTCGACACCAACAGACATCACAGTCCTCGCCAACAGATATCACAGTCCACACCAACACACATCACACTCCACACCAACAGATATCACAGTCCTCACCAACAGACACCACAGTCCCCACAACAGAAATCACGGTCCACACCAACATGACATCACAGTCCACACCAACAGACACCACAGTCCACACTAACAGACATCAAAGTCCACACCAACAGACACCACAGTCCCCACCAACAGGCATCACAGTCCCCACCAACAGACATCACAGTCCTCGCCAACAGGCAACACACTCCACACCAACAGACATCACAGTCCTCGGCAACAGGCTTCACACTCCACACCAACAGACATCACAGTCCTCGCCAACAGGCATCACAGTCCTCACTAACAGGCATCACACTCCACACCAACAGACATCACCGTCCTCGCCAACAGGCATCACAGTCCTCACTAACAGGCATCACACTCCACACCAACAGACATCACAGTCCTCACCAACAGGCATCACAGTCCTAACTAACAGGCATCACACTCCACACCAACAGACATCACAGTCCTTACCAACAGGCATCACAGTCCTCACTAACAGACATCACACTCCACACCAACAGTCATCACCGTCCTCGCCAACAGGCATCACAGTCCTCACTAACAGGCATCACACTCCACACCAACAGTCATCACCGTCCTCGCCAACAGACATCACAGTCCTCACTAACAAGCATCACACTCGACACCAACAGACATCACAGTCCTCGCCAACAGGCATCACAGTCCTCACTAACAGGCATCACACTCCACACCAACAGTCATCACAGTCCTCACTAACAGGCATCACACTCCACACCAACAGACATCACACTCCACACCAACAGTCATCACCGTCGACACTAAGAGGCATCACAGTCCCCACCAACAGACACCACATTCCACACTAACAGCAATCACAGTCCACACCAACAGACACTACCGTCCGTACCAACAGGCATCACACTCGACACCAACAGACACAACATTCCACACTAACAGTCATCACAGTCCACACCAACAGACACTACCGTCCGTACCAACAGGCAACACACTTCACACCAACAGACACCACATTCCACACTAACAGCCATCACAGTCCACACTAAGAGGCATCACATCCGACACCAACAGACACCACATTTCACACTAACAGCCATCACAGTCCACACTAAGAGGCATCACACTCCACACCAACAGACACCACATTCCACACTAACAGCCATCACAGTCCAGACTAAGAGGCATCACACTCCACACCAACAGACACCACATTCCACACTAACAGCCATCACAGTCCACACTTAGAGGCATCACAGTCCACACCAACAGACATCCTGATTTGGCATGTGTGTTCCTAATAATTCAGACCTCTTATTTTGCTCAAATCATTGTGATTTTATTTCAAGTTTGTTTGTTAACAGTTTTAAAAAAAATCAAATTACGAAAAAAAGGTTTAAATTGTTTTGCTCATGAATAGAAAGGAATAGAAAGTTGAAACTTTTTTAAGGAGGTTATAATGGCCATTAGTTGACAAGTGTTTAAATGCATCACAGTCGGTAGTCAACTTCAGTGCCATTAACAATGATGCAAAAAAATATTTTTTTATCAAAACTCAACATTGATTCATAGAAGCATAATAAAATCAACCAAATAAATGGGTTTTTTATTAAATATGTTTTTAGAAAAAGTTAACAATGCAGATTTTTAAACCACCTGTTTCCAGAAGCCAAATGAAGAAGATGGAATCATTATATCTGTGTCTTTGTGTCTGACGGGGACAAAATGGGAGGTTTTGGAGATGCATTTTGTTCCTGGAACAGATCTCCAGTGTAAAAACAATATTTGTTCAAACTGTGATTATTTATTTATTTATTTCACAAAAAAGCATTAGGCCTTTAGAGTCATATGATACCAAAGACTTACGGCTCCTGGTTGAGATGTTGTACACAGTTTACTAAACTTATTGCTTTTTGTTGCAGCAAAACAAAATTGGAAATAAGATCTAACATAATGAAATTTGACTTCAGTATATATTAATGCCTTCAATTATCCTTCCACTGATTATGTCTGATCCCACCCCTACCCCCATTTATACTTTCATAACTGTTTCTATATAAAATGTCTAAGATCTTAGATTTAGTCCTTGCAATGCGCATACATTATATACCAAAATCATGTTTCATGAGTTCTGCTTTAATAAATCATTTTAGGGCAAGCAAATACTGTTCAAATTATTCATTAAAACATGGTGCCTTTTGGTCTTTAAGGACTTCATTTTGTGTTAATCTGAGGAATCAATCGGGGACCGGGGGGGGGGGGGGGGGGGGGGGGGGACGACATGTCATCTACTGATGACTCCTGTGTTCAGATGCAGCAGACTTGAATATTCTGATTCTTTATGTTGATGTTTGTAACCATATTATGATTGTTTTTATGGAATAACGAAAGTTAATGGAAAATTGAAAAATGTGTATGGCACGAGAAAATCATCAGAAGAGACGTATAGGATCAGTGTGAAACTTTGTGTGATGCAGTTTAACTGTTCTTTATTTCAACAATGTAACACAATATTTCATATGACATTCATTGTTGCAGATGAAGAAATAGTGTTGAAAATTGATAATTGATATTATTTGGTTAGTGCTACAATACTAAGCATTATGCAGAAATATTTGAAGATCAATACTGACAGTGGGACAGTGAGGTAATCCGGTGGTTAATTCATTCGCCCGTCACACCGAAGGCGAAGGATCGCTTCCCCACAAGGGCACAATATGTGGGCCAATTTCTGGTGTCCGCCACAATGGTATTGTTGGAATATTGCTAAAACCTCGCACTCAACCACCCACTAAACCAGCCACCCACTCAACCAACTACCCACTCAACCACTAAACTACTCACCCACTCAACCACCTTTTCGATGACTAAACCACACAATCAACCACTCAACCACACTTAACCAACTACCCACTCAACCACCCACTCAACCAACTACCCACTCAACCAACCACCCACTAAACCAACCACCCACTCAACCAACTACTCACTCACCCAACCGCCCACAAAACAACTCACCCACTCAACCACCCTTTCAATCACGAAACCACACAATCAACCACCCAAACCAACCACTCAACCATACTTAACCAACTACCCACTCACCCAACCACCCACTCAACCACGCACCCAATCAACCACCCACTCAACTAATCACTCACTCAACCAACCAACAAACTCACTCACTCATTGTTATGTGGTTGTCTTTGCTGACATATGAAGCTACTTTAAATGCTACTTTTCAAAGTGATCTACAGTGTTATGGCACTATGAAGTCCTCTTAACTTGACATATGTTGCCAATAAGGTAAAATATATCTTACAACTGTGTCTCGGTTGATACAGGAGGCTGTGCTTTGGGAAGATAAAGCCTGTCCAAGTGCCAAGTTGAAAATAATCTGGAAAGTTTAACACAAAGTACATGTAAGATAATTTAATATATTTTATATCTATGTTAGCTTATGATATGCAATATTATGATAGATTTGAGTTTAGTATGGATTTAAAAGAAATTCAACATGTATATGGATATCCTTCTCCTCTATGCCCCGAGTCACCGCCTTTCTGTTACTCAGGTATCCTTCTCCTCTATTCCCCGAGTCACCGCCTTTCTGTTACTCAAGTACCCTGTCCTCTATTCCCCGCGTCACCGCCACTCTGTTACTCGAGTATCCTCTCCTCCATTCTCAGACTCACCGCCTTTCTGTTACGATCCTCTCCTCTCCGATCCTCTATTTCCCGTGTCATCGCCTTTCTGTTACTCAAGTATCCTCTCCTCTATTCCCCGTGTCACCGCCTTTCTGTTACTCAGGTATCCTCTCCTCTATTCCCCGCGTCACCGCCACTCTTTTACTCTGGTATCCTCTCCTCTATTCCCCGCGTCACCGCCACTCTTTTACTCTGGTATCCTCTCCTCTATTCCCCGAGTCACCGCCTATCTCTTGTTCGGGTATCCTCTCCTCTATTCATAAAGTCAGCGCCTTTCTGTATACAGGTATCCTCTCCTCTATCCCCCGAGTCACTGCCACTCTGTTACTCAGGTATCCTCTCCTCTTTTCGCCGAGTTACCGCCTCTCTGTTACTCGGATATCCTCTCCTTTATTCCCCGCGTCACCGCCTCCCTGTTGCTCGGATATCCTCTCCTCTATTCCCCACGTCACCGCCTCCCTGTTGCTCGGATACCTTCTCCTTTACTCCCCGAGTCAACGCCTTTCTGTTACTCCAGTATCCTCTCCTCTACTCCCCGATTCATCGCCTTTCTGTTACTAGGGAATCCTCTCCTCTTTTCCCCGTGTCACCGCCTCTCTGTTGCTCGGGTATCCTCTCCTCTTTTCGCCAAGTCAGCGCCCCTCTGTTACTTGCATATCCTTTCCTCTTTATATTCGCGTATTCACCATTATTTTGTCCAGTAAAACCGACTCAATAAAGCTGTTGCATAGTTGTCAAGATTATTTTTATGTATAAGGAGGATGTCAAGTTAAGCAAATAAGGCTTTCCTCAGTATTCTTTCCCTTATTTATGCGACGTGTGTGATGATTCACACAACGTTTAGGAGATTTCATTTTCAAAGTACGACGGGTCTCATTTATTTGTTCTCCACTTTAGCCGATGATCAAAGACTTATTAATTGTCAACGTTACACCATGGTAAGTGCAAGAGACTGATAGCTTCCTCACAAGAGTTCCATTGAAGCCACAGAGGAAGGTGAGCAATAGCCACTCAAGACCCCCTCCACTTGCTACATCCACCCTGTCAAACATCGACGTTTTAGAGTCGAGTTCACAGTATGGTTCCATCGATTAGTCTCAATGTGAAATACCGTCAGTCTGTGGGGCAGACGTTTACTTTCCCAAGTAATGCTGCACCGTTTGCTCGGGATGAAGTTATTTGCTATTGGCTTGATTTCCGTTACCCTATTGACCTCCCCTAGTGTCTGTGGGGTAAATCTGTTGGAGTTACTCTACTGTTTCGCCTCACGCCAATGTTATGCATGTCTAAAGCACAGGCAAGTACACAGCATTAGTTAAAAATACAATGAGCCTATAAAATACAACTACATATGGAATAAAACTTCCATGTGCCCTCAAAACAATTTCTCAATATGTTTAATGTTCTCTCACGGAACTATTTACAAAGGAAAGCACAACCATACGTCAGAAATGACTCAAAAAGGTTTCATTCAAGCATTACGATCTTTTTCATACGGGACACAGTGACTACTTAGGCTAGCTTTACCTAGTACAAAAACTAACTATTTCTTTTCCCTATAGCAACTAATTACACACGCACCCTCCACACACCCTCCATCTATATAGCAAAGCTCTAACCTTCATCTATATAGCCAAGCCCTACCCTATATCCATATAGCCAAACTCTACCCTCCATCTATAACACTTAAGTATTCACTCCATCTATATAGCCACGCTCTACCCTCCATCTATATAGCCACACTCTACCTTCCATCTCTAACACTTAAGTATTCCCTCCATCTATATAGCAAAACTCTACCCTCCATCTATAAAGCCACACTCTACCCCCCATCTATAACACTTAAGCTTTCCCTCCATCTATATAGCAAACTCTACCCTTCATCTGTTTAGCCAAACTCTACCCTCCATCTATATAGCCACACTCTACCCTCAATCTATATAGCCACACTCTACCTTCCATCTATAACACTTAAGCTTTCCCTCCATCTATATAGCAAAACTCTACCCTCCATCTGTTTAGCCAAACTCTACCCTCTATCTGTTTAGCCTCACTCTAACCTCCATCTATATAGCCACACTCTACCTTCCATCTATATAATAACACTCTACCCTCCATCTATATAATCACACTCTACCCTCCACCTATAACACTTAAGTATTCACTCCCTCTTTATGGCGAAACTCTACCCTCCATCTATATAGCAAAACTCTACCCTCCATCTGTATAGCCAAACTCTACCCTCCATCAATATAGCCACACTCTACCCTCCATCTATATAGCCATACTCTACCTTCCATCTCTAACACTTAAGTATTCCCTCCATCTATATAGCCACACTCTACCTTCCATCTCTAACACTTAAGTATTCCCTCCATCTATATAGCAAAACTCTACCATCCATCTATATAGCAAAACTCTACCCTCCATCTGTTTAGCCAAACTCTACCCTCCATCTATAACACTTAAGTATTCCCTCCATCTATATAGCAAAACTCTACCATCCATCTATATAGCAAAACTCTACCCTCCATCTGTTTAGCCAAACTCTACCCTCCATCTATAACACTTAAGTATTCCCTCCATCTATATAGCAAAACTCTACCATCCATCTATATAGCAAAACTCTACCATCCATCTGTTTAGCCAAACTCTACCATCCATCCCTATAGCAAAACTCTACCCTCCATCTGTTTAGCCTCACTCTAACCTCTATCTATATAGCCACACTCTACCTTCCATCTATATAATCACACTCTACCCTCCATCTATATAATCACACTCTACCCTCCACCTATAACACTTAAGTATTCACTCCCTCTTTATGGCGAAACTCTACCCTCCATCTATATAGCAAAACTCTACCCTCCATCTGTATAGCCAAACTCTACCCTCCATCAATATAGCCACACTCTACCCTCCATCTATATAGCCATACTCTACCTTCCATCTCTAACACTTAAGTATTCCCTCCATCTATATAGCCACACTCTACCTTCCATCTCTAACACTTAAGTATTCCCTCCATCTATATAGCAAAACTCTACCATCCATCTATATAGCAAAACTCTACCCTCCATCTGTTTAGCCAAACTCTACCCTCCATCTATAACACTTAAGTATTCCCTCCATCTATATAGCAAAACTCTACCATCCATCTATATAGCAAAACTCTACCCTCCATCTGTTTAGCCAAACTCTACCCTCCATCTATAACACTTAAGTATTCCCTCCATCTATATAGCAAAACTCTACCATCCATCTATATAGCAAAACTCTACCATCCATCTGTTTAGCCAAACTCTACCATCCATCCCTATAGCAAAACTCTACCCTCCATCTGTTTAGCCTCACTCTAACCTCTATCTATATAGCCACACTCTACCTTCCATCTATATAATCACACTCTACCCTCCATCTATATAATCACACTCTACCCTCCACCTATAACACTTAAGTATTCACTCCCTCTTTATGGCGAAACTCTACCCTCCATCTATATAGCAAAACTCTACCCTCCATCTGTATAGCCAAACTCTACCCTCCATCAATATAGCCACACTCTACCATCCATCTATAGAGCCACACTCTACCTTCCATCTCTAACACTTAAGTATTCCCTCCATCTATATAGCAAAACTCTACCATCCATCTATATAGCAAAACTCTACCCTCCATCTGTTTAGCCAAACTCTACCCTCCATCTATAACACTTAAGTATTCCCTCCATCTACATAGCAAAACTCTACCATCCATCTATATAGCAAAACTCTACCCTCCATCTGTTAAGCCAAACTCTACCCTCCATCTATAACACTTAAGTATTCCCTCCATCTATATAGCCACACTCTACCCTCCATCTGTTTAGCCAAGCTCTACCATCCATCCATATAGCCAAACTCTACCCTCCATCTATAACACTTAAGTATTCCCTCCATCTATATAGCAACACTCTACCCTCCATCTATAACACTTAAGTATTCCCTCCATCTATATAGCAAAACTCTACCCTCCATCTATATAGCCACACTCTACCCTCCATCTATATAGCCACACTCTACCCTCCATCTATAACACTTAAGCTTTCCCTCCATCTATATAGCAAAACTCTACCCTTTATCTGTTGAGCCAAACTCTACCCTCTATCTATATAGCCCAACTCTACCCTCCATTTGTATAGCAAAACTCTACCCTCCATCTGTATAGCCAAACTCTACCCTCCATGAATATAGCCACACTCTACCATCCATCTGTATAGCCACACTCTACCCTCCATCTATAACACTTAAGTATTCACTCCCTCTGAATAGCGCAACTCTACCTTCCATCTATATAGCTACACTCTACCTTCCATCTATAACACAAGTATTCAATCCCTCTTTATAGCGAAACTCTACCCTCCATCTATATAGCAAAAATCTACCCTCCATCTTTAACACTTAAGTATTCCCTCCATCTATATAGCCACACTCTACCCTCCATCTGTTTAGCCAAACTCTACCCTCCATCTATAACACTTACGTATTCCCTCCATCTATATAGCCAAACTCTTCCCTCCATCTGTTTAGCAAAATCCTACCCTCCATCTGTTTAGCCACACTCTACCTTCCATCTATAACACTTAAGTTTTCCCTCCATCTATATAGCAAAGCTCTAACCTTCATCTATATAGCCAAGCCCTACCCTATAT